AGGTAAATTAAATATAGTTGGGGAAAATATATTTTAGTATAATCTTGACTAAAACAACCAGATGTCATGCCAGTCCACTTGAATATCTCTGCTATTCCACAATCACATGCACACAGCACACTGCTTACTGCAGGGCTATTGAGGCCACGCCCCCTACATGCACTGTGCATTCCTCCATCACACGCACACATGTCATGATTTTAAATCGTAGTATTTTGCATGGATGTCTGCTCATGACAAAACTAAATGTTTAGATTTATGCTTGAATATGATACAGTTCAATTAAATTAACCTCAATTTCCCATTAATTCCAATGGAAAGTTTCCGATTTGGAATATTTACAAAATTCCCCAGCTTAACTGCCCATGGAAAGCTTCCCCCTTTTGAAACCCTAATCAAGTTACCTTTGTACTTTACTTGTTGTGTAAGACACAACATTCATTCTAAATGATAATATTAGCCCAACCACTGTAAATATAAATATTTGATAAATGCACGTTGATTTCAGAGAATCTTAGGATTCATTTGTTTCTTCAGTCTCTTCAACAAAAGTATGTAATCAAGCTGGCAACGTCTCCACTGATTTGATGAAGAGTGGCGTTATAACATGTGAAAAACTGGCTAATTAAACTAAGATTTTCCTGATCAACCTTTGCATAATAGATTATCACCTCTCGTTCTCATGTCACTTCCTTTTTTCAGTATACTTAATTATATTTTGACCAGGATATTTTCAGTCTTTTTGATCCAACTTTACGTGAACACACACACTTTACAAATATGAGAATACATTGTGCTGAAATCACAGGACAGTTGTGTGTGTGTGTGTGTGTGTGTGTGTGTGTGTGTGTGTGTGTGTGTGTGTGTGTGTGTGTGTGTGTGTGTGTGTGTGTGTGTGTGTGTGTGTGTGTGTTTTGTTCTTTACAGCATTGTTTGCTAGCCGCCTTCATCATGGAATTTTCCAGTTCTTTCTCCATTTTCTTGATTTTTTCTCTTAGCTCTGCCTCAAGTCGCACTTTGAGTTCTTCTCCCTCTGACACCTTCTTCTCAAGAGCCTTGTTAGCTATAAAGACAGATCACTCAAACAGGTCAACACTTATTGGATGGAAACATACACAGAATATGATTTTAAAAATAAAAAAGACAGTTTATAATGTAAAGGGGGAGTACAGTTTTATCAGAATCCTCATTGGACAGGTGGTTTTGTGATGGAAGCTGAGAGGGGCGAGCATGAGGCCAGTGAAAAGGGAGGCAGGACACTGCTCTCTGATGATGTCAGTGGAGTTGGTTAAACAATATTTAACCAGAAGGTGTTAACTTTGTAAAACAACCTGCTCTGATGCCATGTGAGACACCCGGGGGGTTCTGGGTTTATATCTGAATAAAAGCAGCATGCATCATTTTACTTTCCCCGACCTGTTACATCACAACATGGATGATGTAACAGGTTTAACATCAGATACGTGTAAGTGTGTGGCAGGGCTGGACCAGATAAATGTCAATAGGCCCAAACTTAATCCTTTTGAACAAATGTGAAATCATCCAAGGACAAAACATTGAGAGGGAGCAATCAGCCATGATATTTAAAAGCTGCATCAACATGTGGCATGTGTGAAGGAGGATGATGATGATATTACCTTCCCCTGTGTTTTTAACCAGTTTGCTGAGCTCCTCCACAGCTCTGCTCAGTTCTTGGTTCTTTGTCTCCATTTCTGTCGCTGACCCCTTCAGGAAGAATAAAGATGTTACATACAGTCTACCTGCTGGGCTGCAACATGACAGGACAATGGCTGAGTTTAACTCTTACCTTGTAGAGCGACGATAACTTGACATGAGCATTGAGCTCATTGCGGTATTTCTCCTCCATGGCACTGTGCTCATCTTTAGCCTACAAAGACATCATGTGCATATAATGTGCAAATATTTACAAAAAATATGAACAAACTAAAAAGTGAAAAGTAAATTTCTAAAGCAACTGTTGGGGTTCTTATATCTTCAATAACTTAGTGAACCCGAGGCTTAAATGTAGGTTGTTTAGAAGTCTCCGACTACTGTAAATTCAAACTTTATTATTATCTTAGAGTTTAGGGTCTTCACAGTGGTCGGAGAATCCTCAGCTCTATTTTAGAGACGTCGACAATAATCATTTACACATGGCTGCAAACATCACGTGTGTGTTTTATTACCTGTTTCAGTTTATTGTTGAGGTCTGCTGCTCTTTTGTTTTGATTTTCACTGGTATCCTTCAGAGAAGTCAGCTGACTTTCAAGTCTTGTCACCTGAAAGAGTGAAGTTATTCAAACGCTAGTAGAACTAAAGATTTAGATATAGATTCATCCAATTCTTCATAAAATATGGATACATTGTTTCCCACTGTGTCGTTGAGACATGTTACACGCACGCACAATGTTATATACATGAACAGTTGTTAGAGTGAAGGTCACTTTTTGGACCAATGGTTGTCCTGTGTACAGCAGCGAGAGTAATTCAGCACACAGCAGGATTGTTCAGACTGACTACATTGGAATGCATAAAAACTCAAATGTTTTCAATGCTTTTTACACTCATTCAACTTTGAAGTGGTGTTCCCTGGATTGCTCTTATCTTAAAGGGATACTCTAGTTGAGGCTGTTGGAGGAACAGGCAGCGGCTGTGCATTCTGGAAGTTGTTGTCTCTCATCCACATGAGCCAAAAAGACACTTTCTGCCTTTTCTCGGTCAAGAAGGATATTTACATTTCTATTTCATGACCCAATTACAATACAGATTCATGTTTCAACTGGTAAAGTATCCCTTTAATGTTTTGCTTTAATAAGTTTTTTCAGTCAAATCAGAGTAGAACGATCTAGAACAGTGAAAGCTGAAACTGGTCAACATTTGATGTAGTCTGTGACAGACCTATTGGACTAAACAGTTCTTGTAAAGGTAAATCATAGATCTGGTCCGGCTGACAGACAGACAGTGTGAAGCCCAAATTACATTTGTTCACATGGAGGAGAAGAACACACAAAGTGCCACAATTGATTTGATGTAACTGATTGAAACATGAATACTCAATGTGTGCATATTGTTTGAGTCTCACCTGCTCCTTGCTGTTCTTCAGATTACCCTTTAGCTCCAGTATCTCTTTGCCTTTCTCTCTATTACTGTTCAACAATTCCTCCGTTTTTTTCTTCAGCTCTGAAGTTAACCACTCGATCTTCTTCTCCAGCAGCTCTTTCTCCTGCTCCATGCGCTTCTCTCGGTGCTACAACATACAGAGGCAGGACATGGAACCAAAAAAGCACATTAGCAACTTAGCGTACTGAGGTTCTGTGCCAACTGGATCAGTCAAGAACCAAACACAGATTCAGAATTTTTTGACCCTGCTTTAGTAAATAATTTGGTGGCCGATGTAATAAACATGCAGTTTTCACATGAATATGTTAAAAGTTGAAACACTGGAAGAATACCATTGAAAGCAAACATACTGAAATATTAGCCAAGAATTTGTAATCATACGTGCCATCATTGGAGAAGCAGGAAAGGCTATAAAGAATGCATACTGCGGTGGAAATACACAAACATTACCTGCACAGACGCCTCAGATGACTGTATATCATCCAGTTTTAACTGCAGCTCCAACTTGACTTTGCTGGTTTCTGTCAGCTTCTCATTCAGACGCTTCACGTCCTCTGTAAACAAATCACATACAGGAAGTTTAGAAAAAACATTAGAAAAATCATTAATCTGATTAATGTATATATATGTAAAGCACCTAAGGACAATTATGATCATTTAATAAATTATAATTGTCTCAACTTTTTGGTTTTGCACTAATTAGATACTGAAACAAACTAGGAAAATGTATGTTTTAATCCAAACAGATCCAATGTCCATGGCCTCATTCAGAAAAATCTTAATAAGAGTTAAGGCAAGATCTAACATCATCAATGTTCTCTAATGTGGGATTTGTTGTTGCATGTAAACAGAATCCATACACAAGTATTTCAAGTGTTTACTTGGGCACACTTTTTGCATCTAATCAAATTGAATTCTGGTTTTGAATTTGATTGAATTCTGCAGTTGTGTTTAAAGAAATGTTATCTTGATGATGTTAATTAAATCATTTAATTAATCTCAAGAAATAAATTCCTGACTAAGGAAAATAAAAAGTCTCTAACAAGTTTAGCTTAATTTTTTTTAAATGTTATTGTATTCATTTCAAGTATCTCAAAGATTGTGGCCAGAGATCATGCTGTCTGTAGGAGCGTTTGGCTGTTCTTGATCTTCCAGGCTGTCTTCAGATATCTGACCTGCAGCAGTGTAACAGATCCACCACTCTATTTGGCCTTAAACTGAGATAAAACAAACCCCTGTTTTTACTGCTTCAGGATATTCTTTGGGATGGCTTAATCATTGTTTACAGATTAGACAAAAAAATCAATTATTTCTACATGCAGGCCATAGGTTTTCTATGTTTGTAGTCCAAGTAGTATAAACAAATCATGAATCTTAAGGCTAACTTAAGACGGGAACCCTTCAAGTCATTTTTCTTACAGGCAAGACTCTACTGACCAAAAAACAAATATTGGAATGTTTATTTATTTTATTCTCCTCCTCTTATTTCGCTTGCTCCTTAAGTTGTGACGTTAAGAAAGGAAGATTCTGAAAACAGCAAAAGATGAACTTTAAGATGATAACGTGTGATGTAACAAAGAGGTGTGTGTGTGTGTGTGTGTGTGTGTGTGTGTGTGTGTGTGTGTGTGTGTGTGTGTGTGTGTGTGTGTCTTATATCTTACCAGAAAGGTTTTCCACTTCTTGGGTTCTCTTCTCCAGCAGCCGATCCAGCTCCCTCTTCTCCGCCTCAATCTCATACTTGGTCTTGGTCTGCTATACTCACACACACAAACCACAAAAATACAGTAAATAAAACAACAAACATCAGTTCATGAACACTATTTTTTTTCAGCTTCTAGAAAGTACTCGTAAAAAGGATTTAAATTAACAATCAGTCAATAAAAAGGGGTCTGTTAATTTTTTTGTTGTTGTTAAAAATAGAAACAACATTAGATCACTTTCAATTCAAATACTTATTTCTCAAACTATGCACACACAGCTCATTATGACTTCAGAGAAATAGGATTTTATGGTATATATGTTCTAGATCCAAGATGTGCTGTGACGCATCAGAGTGTGATCCTTGACTGAGCGGGACAAAGCCTCTCAGTACTAAAGTTATTTCTTTGATCTTTCTAAAACATGTTTAGATAAAGTGTCTACAATGTCTGAATCAGGCAGTATCCCTTTCTTAAACCTTTAGTGACAGCAGCCCAATCATATCAACAAGATAATAATACATGTACTTTGTACAACAGATCAACATCTACATTCCTTCATCATGAAGTGCATTGGGTCCATTTACCTGTTGTGGGAGTTTATCTTCAGGAGTCTCTGCCTCTATTCCCTTCAGAGTGCTCAGCTCTTCATCTGTACAGACAGAAATGTTACAACTCTGAGGAGAGAGCTACAGCATTCTTCCATCAGTAGGTATGTTACTGTGAGCTCGTCCTAACATGAACTGTGTGGGATGAGGGTCCAAAAGTATTGACCTTTATCATTAAATTGCAAATAAACAATATGGACTTCTTTTACTTTTAAATGTGAAATAATGGAATTTTAAACATGCTAATAATAACGATTAACTTATCAAATTTAGGGACTAATCTATATGCTGTCTGCTTGTCCTCAACAAAGGAGATTTAAAATGAGCTACACCAGCTGTTAGCACACTAAAGCTGTAGTTATAACTTTGGATAAAAGCATCTGCTAAGTGAACTTCATTGAACAACGCTGATGGAACAGATACTGTACTATTAACCTTGTCCTGTGTTCATATGGACTTGAAACTTGCAGCATGAGAACATCTGCTGTAGCAAAATATTGTAAAAGAGTCTACATATCGAAGACATTTCATTGATTTTAAATTGTACATTTAAATAAACAAAGTGTGACTAGTGTAAATGTGCCACAGTTGCCCACTTTATCATTATAAGTGTTAACTTGGGTTTTTTTTAATGGCATATTGCACCCACAAGTAAGAGACACATTTCTGCCATTGTATTCAAAAACAGACAATAATGTATTTTGTATTCTTAAGCCATGAGTGCTGTTGAACACTACACTGAAACAGCTTAGAGGATGGAAACAGAGAGCATAAGGCAACCATACAAATAATAATGCTGCTTAGGGTTCATTAAGAAGTATAAGAGGGGTACTTGAAGGTTATTAGGTGTGTTTATAACTTACTTAGTTTTGCATTTGTATCCTTGAGTGCCTGCAGGTCTCTGGTGGCAGACAGAATCTGTTCCTGACTCTCCACCAGCCTCTTTTCAATTTCAAAGTACTGCTGTTCTGTAGTGAGAGAAAGTATTCAACAATGAAACAAAATGACACTGTACAGTAATAGATTTAGAAATTGAAGACACACCACCGTCTTTTAAATCAGAGGTGTGGAAGCATTTTGGCTTTCCAAAGACAGAATATAAAAGAGGAGAGAAGATAACAGAAACCGGTTAGCAGCCCCTAAAGGAATCTGTTTCAGTCATACTTCGTCTTCAGTCTGATTTTGTAAAATAAATCGGGAGAGAATTGTATCGTGAACCCAGTATCGGGAATCGTATGCAGTGTTTCCCCTAGGTTTACAGCATTGGGGACATGCCGACATGCCGACACAAACACTTGAAGGAATCTTGGTGTTCATGTGTTACTTTTAATGACAGCTGTCCTGTTCTATCAGAAAGGTATCCTTAAATGACTTCTTTCCCTGATTTCTGACTCTATCCACTATCCTATCTCTACAATGAAGTCACAAAAAGCCCAAAAATAAATCTTTAAAATATATATATATATATTTAATTTTATTATTATTATTATTATTTATTTTACTCGACCTTCAATTGGGGCGGGCATAGTAACCCTGATATAATGGTAGGGGAAACACATCCCTATTTATTACTGATGAATATCCACACACAAAAATATTCATAAAAGATTTCATACAAGGAGATAGCAGCAGGCCTTAAACATTGAAATATTTCTCAATGGAAACAACGTGGAAACTAAAATTCTGGATTTCTTCAGCTGATGGTAAACAACCACAGAAGTAAAGATGTGTTTCGTCGCTCAATTTCAAGAATATAGTCTAGTGCTTTCAATTCAACACACCATACAGAAACTCTTTAAAGCATCTCCAGCTTTAACCACGTTAGCTTGTTATCTTAAAGCTAGCCTCCGTGACGTCACAGCTAACGTTAGCCTGTAGTTTACGCATTGTGGATCCACACGTTTACTTTTTAGTTTATTACTTTATCAAATTCGCATGAAGGCATTAAAACTAGTATAATGTGACTCGAGGTGTCTGTCATATAGCTCACATGTTGACCTGCTGATTGTAAAGTTAGTAACATACCGCTGTCTGCTTTGAATCTCTCATGCTGCGTCTTTAGCTCCTCGTTAGCTTCCTGCAGCTCCGTCACAAACTTCTCTAACTTGTTCTGGACGCTTTTCGATAGTTTATTCAACTCCGTCCGCTCCAGAATCTGCAGCAGGACGGCCGCCATCTCCACCAATCCACCCGAAAATGTACACTAAACTCAAGTTATTCTTCTCTGGGATTAAACTTAAGTTATAATAACGTTTTCCGACCTCCTACTATGATACATCAAGCCGGTGTCAAACCTGTGGCAGGAAGTAGTACGCCGACCACAACCCTTCAGAATAAAAGACAAGTACAGAACAACACATCGAGGATGCCTTGAACTGAATGAACTACTTTAATAGAAATTATTTTATCATGTTAAACGTGATTATTATATAGTCGACCATTACACTTTGAAAAGAGGATGTTCTGGGTAACGATGTTTGCTTTTATTCAGGGCGCAATCCTCCAAACGTCCATTACTGCAGCGTGCAGTTCGGGGTTGAGCGCTCCTCATTTGTGTTTTAACTTGGTAATTTATTATCTTACTTACTTTGTCTATTTATGTTTTATATGTAAATATACTTTTTATTTTTATTAATACTATTGTTTTTTTTTTGTTTTTTTTTTATCATTTATTCACTTGTTTCTATTTCTTTTCCTATAAGAAGGTAATTCTTATTGCTGTTATCTTTTTATTTGCTTTTAGCTCTTTTCGTTTCTTACATCTTTTTTAATCTTTGCTCCTCTTGGTCTCAGCTCGTGTTGTTGGGTTCTTGTTTTGTCTGGGTTCTTGTGATGGTTCTTGTGATGGTTCTTATGATGGTTCTTATGATGGTTCTTGTGTTGTCTGGGTTCTTGTGATGGTTCTTATGATGGTTCTTATGATGGTTCTTGTGATGGTTCTTGTGATGGTTCTTGTGATGGTTCTTATGATGGTTCTTGTGTTGCCTGGGTTCTTGTGATGGTTCTTATGATGGTTCTTGTGTTGTCTGGGTTCTTGTGATGGTTCTTATGATGGTTCTTATGATGGTTCTTGTGTTGCCTGGGTTCTTGTGATGGTTCTTGTGATGGTTCTTGTGATGGTTCTTGTGATGGTTCTTGTGATGGTTCTTATGATGGTTCTTGTGTTGCCTGGATTCTTGTGATGGTTCTTGTGATGGTTCTTATGATGGTTCTTGTGATGGTTCTTATGATGGTTCTTGTGTTGTCTGGGTTCTTGTGATGGTTCTTATGATGGTTCTTATGATGGTTCTTATGATGGTTCTTGTGTTGCCTGGGTTCTTGTGATGGTTCTTATGATGGTTCTTGTGATGGTTCTTGTGATGGTTCTTATGATGGTTCTTGTGATGGTTCTTGTGATGGTTCTTATGATGGTTCTTGTGATGGTTCTTACGATGGTTCTTATGATGGTTCTTATGATGGTTCTTATGATGGTTCTTGCGATGGTTCTTATGATGGTTCTTGTGATGGTTCTTATGATGGTTCTTATGATGGTTCTTGTGTTGCCTGGGTTCTTGTGATGGTTCTTATGATGGTTCTTATGATGGTTCTTATGATGGTTCTTGTGTTGCCTGGGTTCTTGTGATGGTTCTTGTGATGGTTCTTATGATGGTTCTTATGATGGTTCTTATGATGGTTCTTGTGTTGTCTGGGTTCTTATGATGGTTCTTGTGATGGTTCTTATGATGGTTCTTATGATGGTTCTTGTGTTGGTTCTTATGATGGTTCTTGTGATGGTTCTTCTGATGGTTCTTGTGATGGTTCTTGTGATGGTTCTTATGATGGTTCTTGTGATGGTTCTTATGATGGTTCTTATGATGGTTCTTATGATGGTTCTTGTGATGGTTCTTGTGATGGTTCTTATGATGGTTCTTATGATGGTTCTTATGATGATTCTTATGATGGTTCTTATGATGGTTCTTGTGTTGGTTCTTATGATGGTTCTTGTGATGGTTCTTCTGATGGTTCTTGTGATGGTTCTTGTGATGTTCTTGTGATGGTTCTTGTGATGGTTCTTGTGATGGTTCTTATGATGGTTCTTATGATGGTTCTTGTGATGGTTCTTGTGATGTTCTTGTGATGGTTCTTGTGATGGTTCTTGTGATGTTCTTGTGATGGTTGATGGTTCTTGTGATGGTCTGGTTATATCTGTCTGTTGGGTATCGTGCACTTTGGGTTCTTTTCTGTTGAATTGTATTGAATTATTTTTAGTATTTTACATTTGTTATGTTCTTGCTGTTGTTTATGTTCTTCTGTGTTTGGTTTAGTTTGTTCTTGCTTTTGCTGTTTGTCAAAGCACTTTGTAAACCTGTGTTTTTAAAAGGTGCTCTAGAAATAAAGTTATTATTATTATTATTATCATTATTATTTGGTAAGTGTTTTTAAACTGTGCCTCAAATATTGCTATCAGGCAGAGGAGCAAACGAGGTGTCTGAAAAGATTGCAGTTGCTGTTTGTCAAATTATAATCTGAAGAGAATTGACAATGTTCTGTTTGTTGTTTGCATGTATCGCTCTAACTTGACCATTTGGCGCCTCGACGTCAGAGGCATGCGACGGAAGTTTGTCACCCTAGAAAGCACCGTTGTTTTTATTTCCTCTGCTGACTGACCAAACAGCAAGCGGTCTGTTTTCTTATTTGCATTACTATATTGCTGCTGTCAGATATTTTCCGTGGTGATTCTGGAGCTGAAGTGCAGTTCTGTAAAAGTGCAAGTTGCACTTTCTCTCGCTGCTTTACATAAAGTCATATTATCTGATTAAAACTATAGTTAATGCTACAATTAGTCATACAACTTCCTGTTAAGCCTACGTGTTACTTGATTTGACAGCTAATTGCTCTTAACACTGTAAACTGCATTTTTGACGCTAACTTAAGACCTGAAGCATTTCTTTTTAGTTAGACCCTACAGCCTACAGATGAAGAAACATTGTGTTGTTTAATTTAGTATCTCTCCTCCTCTTCTTTCAGGTCGGGACATTATGGGTCGTGGCTACATAGTAGACGACACTGTAGAGGTTTATCTGTCTAAACTATGTGAACAGCGTGCATGTCCAGTCACCGGACTGCTTATTGGACAGGTAAGGAAACCCCTAAACCCTAAACCCTGTCCTGTCCTCTTGTTAGGTTGTCATAACGTTGAGCGGATGGGTCAGTTTTTCATAATCTCATAACAGCTGCTCATTTACTAGCAATGAAAAGGCCATACATTTTTTTTACCCAGCTAACTTTTGCTTCTTAACAAATAACTTTATATTTTAATAAACCTATAATGCATGTTTTTATATTATACTTATTTTTCACAATATAATTATTTATGCTTTTTTGTATTACTTTGTTTTTACATTTCTCTTATATTTATCATTATTCAATGCTTTTTTGTGTTACTTGTATTTTGAATGTAATCTGCAGCACTTTGGCCCTCTGTGGGATTCATTAATCATACTGTGTTTTGAGACTGCACACATGCTATGATCTTGACACATTTTAGAGCTCTGCCCAAAGGGATTTTGTCATCATGGCGACCCGGACACCTCAACGTGAGGAGTCAACTGCAGCATCTAGAAACTGTCTGGACAAGGAGTGGGTGACTGAGCATGCTCGACAGGTTAGCAAAGAAGGACAAAACTCAAACCCTACACTGACACATGTGCTCCTGAGCTTTAAAGGGTTTCCAAAGGGCTCCTGCATGACAAACTCAGTGTTTTAAGGGGTTTTAGAACACACTTGGAAGTAGTTTGTGAAGGCTTTAAGACTCCTACAGGTGACATTTGCCGTTGTTTTGATCTGTTTTCAGGTGTCCAGAATGTTGCCTGGAGGATTGTCTGTTTTAGGAGTCTTCATTATTGATGATAGCGATGCCAAGGACACACTCATGACGCTTCAACAGGTGGGATTCATGAAAACACACCGTCTGTGTATGATGATCTGTGATGATCTGTGGGGGGTTGCCCATCTACTGATCTTTAGATTTCATGGACCTGTACAGCCCATCAAGTCTTTCTTTCTTTTGGATACATCTTGTATAGTTTCTGTAGGTCACCTCTCCTAACTTAAGTTTAGGTGGATGTTGTTTCCATGTCCTTTTTATCAGCTTCATGGCCGTCACTCGCAAAATATTAAAAAGAGAAATATCAGCAACGTTTATCACCTCAAGTAAGTTGAAAATAAATAAAATAAATTCTACCTCTAAATGTGTATTTAACTCAAAAATGAACATACAAACTTTCTTCCAAAAATGATAATAAAACTGGACATTTCAAGAAAATATGTGCACAGTTTGCCTCTCCACACCGTCTCCAACAGTTTGAACCTGCAAGGGGGAGATATATATGCATACTTTTGCAATATTTTATATATAAATTTGAATGCTTTCTTTAGCTTTTTTTTTATTTTGGAACAACTGCTGCTTAAATTCATTTGTTAATGTATCCTCCTGTATATGTTTGAAAGATAACTTCTCACTTGTAGATAATCATCTATCATCAGCTATCATTTAAAATGAATCTTTTGTATTTCTTGATACAAATTAATTGATTAATTGTGAGTATGTTGTTAGTCCCTTAATCTCCCAGCTGTTTGGTATATTATCCGTCCTATTAGGACTCAAATCAGGGTCACACACCATTTCTCTAAAATAAACGCATTCATTATTTACTTTGAACAACTTGCTGTATGTTTCCAGTTCTTAACAGTGTTTAAAATACAGTAGCTCTGCCCTGTATGTGTTTCCATGTTCCCTTTCCTAGGAAAGGTTTGACTAATTATTAAGTACATCTATTAATGTAGCACCTTGTAGAGCAGTATACAAAAAAGATATACATCCAAATTTAGAGACAAAATATTACTTTTAAAGACACAAATCAATGAACACGTTACACTGCCTCATGTCCTAACATGTGGGTCTTTTTCTGTTTTTTAAATGTGTCCATAAAGTCGAGAAGAAAAGAGGTTTACATTATAGAGCTATCAAGATGGGTGATACATGAGGCTATTCATGAGGTCCTTGACAAAATTTAAGCAGCAGCATTGTGGACCACAAATTAATGATCAGTGATTACAGTTGAAGAATAAGTCAATATAAGATGAAGTCAAAAAGTGAACAATCATGTCAACTAAAGACACGATACGCCTGAAGTTAACAATGTGTCTCAGCTGGAAAGAAAACTGGAATTAATTAAAAAAGTTAAATGGTCATGTTTCCCTCTGGACTTTGTTTGTTTCAGAGAAAAGGGAAGACCGTTGACACCTTCCAAACCATTGGGATGAGTTGGATAGAAAAGAACAAAGGCCAGTTTTAAATAAGGATATGATAACATTTAAATAAATATTAGGGAGTCGGCTCTGTTTTGACACCTGGAGATGACTTCAAATCATTTATAGAAGGTGATAGAGAAGTCAAACATCATACTCTGGACTTTCCTGACTGTTTATTTAGCTTTGAGTTGTTTGGGGAATACTCTGATTAAATAGCTCTGA